GCTTGGCTTTATTTGCTTTTCATTTGACTGCATTGGTCGAAAGTTGTGCAAATAAACCAATTTCTGATTTCTCGCCGAGGCATTCGCTCTTCGGCTGAGCTCTCAAGTGCCCATTGACAAAAATTAAAAAGAGAAGCAAAATCCCTTCTCAAGCAGCATTTGGCCTATAGAAAACACAAATACTTGACATCTACTTGGCATTCGCTGCGATAACGGAAAAGTTTTATCCCCATTCATATGCCTGATGCTGGGTGCATATTCGTTCATTATGAATGAACTTGTTGTATAAATGAATCACTCATCTAGCTCCACAGACGGTCTTATAAATTACTTGCTTGTGTTCGGGGAGTGATTCAACAGATTGAGCTATGAAGTGAACCACAGTGAACCGCGAAATGCAACTTATGAAAATGTCATTCAGTAATTCCATATGTGAACTAGTTCACAGTCGCTATCACTGGGCTAGTTCATTCAACTGTGAATGATGCTTTTATTGAGATGCACTACTGAGCTATCTCAGTGATGCCGGACACGAGGTTCATTTGAACGACTGACCTCGCTCAGTGAACTGTGAACAAGAAATCCAATTTGAGTCAGTAATTCCAGATATGAAGTTGTTTATAGCGTACGTTCAATTGAAACGTATCGATGCTGAACTAGCTCAGTGAACTGTGAGCAATATATTCGACTCAAATGGATCTAGATGCGAGCGGAGTTCAGTGAACTGTGAACGATAGTTGTTGGCTCGCTCGTTGCATACATATTGAACTAGTTCGATGAGTTCACAGAGTCTATGGGAATCTGCTCCCGAGTTATACTGATAGCATTGCTTGCTCGACTTTAGCAGGAATTTAAATGGGGATGTTTTTGGTGTTGCCACAAATTGCAGGTGAAGCGAGGCTTGTGCTGTTGTTGTCTACTGTTCATTAGTTTCTTGGTTTTATCACTCATTTGCCCTGCCACATGCCACATGCCCCATGCCATAGGTGCCGCATGACAGCTGCAGAGCACCCTTGACATTAACCTCCGACTGCACTGCCAGCAGCAGCTCGTCTCCTGCGTTGTCTTCCTTGGGTGCATACCCATTACCCATGCCAGCTGCTGCCGTGGGGTATATAGTTGATCCCAAGAAGTGCAGAGGGAGTACGCTCAAAACTTGTACAGGGTATCTATGGGCTAGTCTGGTTGCTTGCTTGAAGTGTTGCATAATTGTTTGGGCAAGGACCGCAGATGGCCATCCGCATAAGCTAGTGTGCTGGTGTGAGTGTGGGCGTGTGTGGGCGTGTCTGTCTAAGCCGCATTGCTGCAAATGAGCTGCTTGTGACAGCCACCAAGCCGAGTCGCCCCTTGCGTCATGCGAGCCTTGGATGTGGCTGGAAGGAATTGCTCCCCCTGCCACGCCCTGTCTGATTCGTGCCACCTGCTGCTGTGACTAATTAAAAATTAGCAATAACTGGCTACAAAATTTCCCGTTATACTTTAAGGCACTTCGCACTGCCTGCCCCCGCCCGACAGTCGCAACGCAATCGAGGCCAATGCTGGCAGGAAGCCGCCCGCGCGGTGGTGCGGTGGCTGGGGTCTTTGTTGGCCCATTCTCGTGGGGTGCTCCCTCCATGGTGGCTGGCTGGCTCCCAGATACTCGTTGTTTGTCGTAATCAGCTGAGTGAGCTGAACGCTTAAAACACTCGGCGAGGCGTTGCCATGCTCCTGGATGCTCCCGGTCTCGAGCCTAGCTGACCCGGCCTTAGCCCAACATTTCCCTCAGTCTCCCGTTCCCCGCCCGGCTGCCTGGATTGCTGTTGCTTTTTTTAATAAGCTCGACGCGAGTCGAGAGCCAGCACCGAAAGCTGAAACGCCCACACTTGACATCGTTTGCCAACTGCCGAGAGCCAGCAAATGTTTCTCTCTATATGCCATGCACACACACATGCACACACACACGCAGAGCAAACTTGCATCGAAACGTTTGTGCCCGACTAGAAGAAACCCTGATAAAAGTCTGGCACGACGCAGACAGAGGAATCCAAGTGAGGGTAGGCCAAAGCGTTGCTGATGTCAAAGATAAAAGTAGATATACATACATACATACATACACATATATGCAAATAGATTGCCCCAATCTAAGGCACGAAACATATGGAGACCTTATCGACGAGAGCAGCTGAGATACCCGTTCGTCAAACTCACTTTTAAGTGGTAGCTAAAACTTCCGGCGATGCCTCTCAAATTGCCGCGCCGCTAACTTGGCAAATTTGCAACACGGCAAAATTAGTTTGCATTAGTTTTTTCACCTTTTGAAAGCAGTGAACCCACTGCAAATGGGCAAATATACGTACGTACGTGTATGTGGGTGAGTGTGGTTACGTATGTGGTCGGCGGGGGGGAGTACGGGAGTTTCTCTTGACATGCATGCACTTATCTCCAGCATCGTCTATCTTAAACGCACAGTGGGTATTGCAAGTAAGTCTACAGCAATAATCATATTGGGGGCAATGCGCAATGGCACAGCACACACAGTCTACAGGGTATCTGCACGCTGAGCAATCGCAGCTAGAGGCACTCCCTCTCTCCCTCTCGCTCTCGCTCTCACATCAGATTGCCGTCTCTTGTCTGTGTCTCGATTGCTGCGACGCTTGACCCCTTGCACAATGCCCCATTCATTAGAGCAATCGCCTCAATTGATGGACTTGACAAACTGACAAAAACACTCTGGCATCAAATACAAGGCCTTAAGCTAGCAGCTCAGTTTGCGGCTGTTGCTTGTTGTCTCTCCCACTCCCCCCTCTATCTCTGGATAGAGCAAAGAGTTGTCAGCCCAAACGGCAAATGGAGCTTCGTTTCTATTAACTGTTGACAGTTGCCTTTTGCTCTTAACTGTATCTGTTTCTTGGCCTCTGGCTAGCAACTAAATTTACAAGTAATTGTGAAAGGCTCCCAGATATTAAATATAGATATAGAGCGAGAACAGGCCTGAAACTGAAGTTGAAGGTCCAAGAAAAGGTCCTCAAAGCTAGTTAAGTGTCTCCCGATCGAGACCTTAATTTACTATTGTCTCCCGCATGTCTAACTGTACTCAAGGCGCTTCTGCGATTGCTGAATAATTGAAATCTCTCTAATTAGCTGCAACTATTTGTTTGGCATGGCTCTTCAACACCTTCATCTGCAATTCAATTAGGTGCCAAAAATGAAATTGGAATTCATTAAGTCTATGCTTGTTTCTCACTCTGCTACCTCTGCCCCTCTCTCTCCCTCTTTCTGTCTCTGTTTCGCTTAAGCGTCGCGGTCTTAAAAGTTGACAGACAGAACGTCTCAGAGCCAAAATATTCCGTGCTCAGTTTCCAGTTCCGTTTACCAAGTGGGAAAACAGATGCGAAAGGCCAAACGAGAGAAGGGAAAACGATGAGAAGGAAATGAGGGAATAGAGACAGAGGCAGAGCAGAGAGGAGACTGGAGGGGGGCTAGAGGTTAGCGCCTAGGGATTGAATGACAGCCAAAACAACCGCAGCCAGTCCTTTTGCAGTGTATAAAAGTTGAATGGGTTCGCGACGTTGTTGTTTCTCTGCTCGCCCATTGAACCAAAGCGAGTATATGCGTTTCAGTAGGCACGATTTTACATCAAGTTAGCTAGATTAAACAGGCCTTGCTGAAACCACAGCTAAACATGGATTGTGTGAGCGGGTATAAGGTAGACGGTCCCGTTAGTAGACCTACCTTAAGCCTAGGGCTGTTCTCAAGGTATGCCGTAGATAGAACTTGTGCAGAAATCGATTTCCGTATCAAATTATCGATTTTCCAGCTTGAGCAAGCTCCTTCAAGTTCAAACTTTGGTCCCAGGAATCTCGGTGTCGACTGTGAGCGAGCATTGCGCAGTCGTTCACGCTAATTTGTGGCATTCTAAGTGGTTCTTGCTCGCCTGACGACCGAAAAAACCGCCATTAAAATAACTTTTCAGCTGCTGAGGACGGCTGGACGAACCCGCTGAGTGGGCGTGGGCGGTAGAGCGGTAGAGCGGCTGGTGGCTGGCGGTTGGCGGTTGGCTTACTGTGCGCGACTGCTCCGGCCTGGCCAAGTGGCAGCCAGCAGTTTTCACAGCAGTCACACAGCCTACGGCGGGGCAACTTTTCAAATTTAGCCGCTTGGAAAAAAGCAGAAGGAAAATCATCAGCACCGTCCTGCCTACGAAACAGAAAATCTTCTCAGTGTCAGCCCCTGCGTATACATAATGTGCTCAGCGTGCCATTGTTTCTGTTGCCGTTGTTGTCATGCCCGGCACTTAGTGTGTGTGTGTGTGTGTGTGTGTGTGCACAATAGATACGTGCATACATTTAGTGTGGATTACAGAATGTGAAGTAAGCTGTAAGCAAAACTTTTAACTTGCTAACGGGAGCTGAGGGGCTTCCTGCTCGAAGACCGTCGCGAATTTCATATGGGATGCGACACAAGTCAAACTAAGCTGCTACAGATGATGGTGGGGCAGGGTAGCTGCCAGCTGGGCATACCCCATTTTTGGTTCAGCTTGGCTTACAGTGTGAATCGCTGCTGTTGAGCTGGCTAAATCCAAGCCACAGATATACATATTTATATAGGGTAGGGTATTCACTAGTCGAGCATGCCTCTGCTTGCAGCGTTTTCCCGCTGCTTTGTTGGCGTGAAATCAAATTTGGCCGTCGCGTTGCTTCGTGGACGAGTCTTAGGGCTCATTGTTCGGCTCATTCAGGCCATTTAACAGTTGAGCTCTAATTGTTAACACACACCCACACACACACACACATACACACACAAACACACACTCGCACACACGTGCCGAGCTCAACTTGCGCTGAAAACTTTAAAGGTTTTCTCCAACAACTTTTCTCTCACAATTTTTGGTTTTGTTTTTGCTTATTGTTTGTGTGTTTCCTTTGTTCTCCTTTGTGTTTCTCATCCGCTGTTGCCTGTTGTTCACTCTAATTACTTGATGTATGTTCTTTATATTGCATGTTGTTAAAATCGTTAGCGAAAAGCGACAAGTGCAAAGGCGAAAAACTATCGAAACAGACTCAAAAGAAACAAGAAAACGCAATTGAAAAATGGACACGAAATTGGCGCAGGGTCAGTTTCCGGCCACGTTTCCGGAGACTTTCAAGAATTTCTTCGAGATGATGAACGAGGACGAGGATCACGTTGAGCTCTTTGCCAACCTGCTGGAGGATAAGGTACAGACGAAAGTCGAAAGGTTCCCAGAAAACTAAGCCCAGTCGCAGCCTCGACAGCATTCCCATTGCATTCCCATCCATCCGAGTGGCGTCTACAGTCGATGACCTCTTTGGACAGCTTCTGACCTAATCTCTATGTTTGCTCTGTTTTTCGTTTCCGGACTAGGTGATACCGCGCCGGAGCCCAATGCATGCCCAGCGGCAGCGTTGCGGCGGAAGCCTGCGCAGCCATCTCAACCGCCGGGCTGGGCATGAGCACATCCAGGCCCAGATCCACGCGCAGAGCCATGGCCGAGCGCAAGTCATACCTCCCACCCAGGATCAGATCCAAGAGCAGATGGCGAACCGCTCTCGCTCCCGTTCCCAGCAGATCCGCTACTCGTGGCAGCAGCCCGTTGCTCCGCAGCATCCCCATCCGCACCCGGTGGGTGCTCCACGGAGCCGCAGTGGCAGCAGCGGCGACATGAGCCGGTCCATGGCCGTGGATCAGGAGCTCGGGGCGAGCTCGGGCTACGCCCTGGGCCCACGAAGCCGCAGCCGGGGAATGCGGCGCCGGAGCGTGTCGGGCGTCGACGATCTGGGCGACTACGGCGGCGTGCTGAGCCACTGCTCCAGCACTGGCAGCAGCGTCGACAGCCTCGTCCACAGCCAGCTGATGACGCGCAGCCCGAAGCACTCGACGTTGAGCAGTCGCGCGCCAAGGCCCAAGTTGCCGGCCGACAGTCAGCAGCTGCCGCCGACCGCTCCTGCTTTCCAGCAGCAGCAACAGCAGCAGCAGCAGCTGGACCAGGATCATCTGCAGCGCCACCAGCAGGCACGCGACCTGCAAATGGAGTTGCACCAGCTGCGACTGGGACCCGACGGCGAGGACAACAGCGCCGGGCGGGCGCCCCAGAACTATGCGATGCCCCGCCTCCTGGCGGACAGCCCGAGGCGGCACTCGGTCATATTGGAGCGATCATACGACTTTGGTAAGCTATTCCTATAGGTATAGATGGTGCGAAAGAATGGTGAGTGTGAGAGAAAGAAGGAGGGAGAGAGAGAGGGGGAGAAAGGGGACTGATGGAGATAAAGATAAATGTGCAAGGACATCAGAGAATCGAATAGAGAATAGAATGGGAATAGAATGTGACTGGAGACATTCAGAGAGAGAGAGAGAGAGAGAGATGAAGAGAACTGCAGAATAAGAAGACAGCAAGAAAATGAGATGGAGATAAACACAGATATGGAGAAGAAGAGCAGAACCTACGCCAGACAGAAGAGAGGAATAGTAGGAAAAGAAAGAGAGAGAGAGAGAGAGAGAGAGAGAAGGAAGTTAGTAAAGAACAGTGTGGCTGGGAGAGTGGTGTAAGAAGGGCAGCATGAGTGATGGAGAGCAGGGAAGATAAGAAGAAGACGGAAAAAAACTTCAAGTAAATGAAGGGGAAAAGAAGAGAGAAGAAGGTGACAGGAGCACAAATAAAGAAGGGTAGATAAGCAAGCTGGAGGGACTCAGCTACAGCTAGCTAGAGAGTTGCGTGTATGTAAAGAGAGAGAGAGAGAGAGAGAGAGAGAGAGAGAGAGAGACAGAGAGACAGACAATGTGAATGCCAACAGGAGCGTATGGAATTCGGCGGCTTAAGGGCAAGCAGGTTAATTAGGAATAGGATGCCTTATTAAGGCAGGTGACAGCTAAAAACTTTCAGTGTGTGTTGTCAGCTCTTCTATGATGTGTGTGCGTGTGTGTGTGTGTGTGTGTCTGTGTGGGTGTGGAGCAACATGTGTACTATGAGAAGGGCGACATGCAGGCACCACATTCTCTATCGCTTGTCTGCGGGAATCCCAGTCAAACAAAGCGCACACACGGCGCTGGCGACAAGCCGCACACACACTCACACTCACATGCACACATACATACAGATGTACACATGTATATGCTTAATTAATGGCTGGCGAAAACAATAAAAATTGTTGAGCTTGAGCCGATTTCTGGCTGCGGCACAGCTGTGCGTCGGGTCTCCAGGTGGATGCCCCATTCATATTTCAATTAAAATTTCCCAATACACCCACACACCCGTCTACTAAGCCCACACGCACATTGATATTGAGAATTGTGTGGCAATTCCCTGGGCTGCCTACTTGGGGGCGCCTGGATGTTGCCCCATCAAAAGGGCATAATGCGTATTAAGTTTTCATATAGAGAGAAGAAACAAGCTGAGAAGGAGAGAGAGGAGGGGGGTGGGATGGAATGTGAGGGGGCGGGGCTGACATCATCTGGCGCCATAAAGCGCAAGTTAGACATCAACTTTAAACAAGTGCCAAATGAACAGTGAACAAAAACAGACAACAAAATGCTGCAAAGCGACAACTGCAACAACAACAACAACAACAACAACAATAATAATAATAACAGCTGACATTTTGCAGGAGAAAGAAAAGGTTACAACAGCTCAGTGAGCTCAGAGCTGAGCCCAAACAGAGCCAAAGCGATTTCCCTTTTTTTTGAGGGTCGGCCTTAAAAGCGGACAACGAAATACTTCCAACAAATAAAAGCAAGGGCAGATAGCGCAAAAATAGCAACAAGCGAAGGGTGTGCTGCCGTAGAGTATACCCTGCAATCGGTACGCAGAGGCAGACGTGAGAGAAAGAGAGACAGAGAGACGTTGAGTAAGAGTGGGTGAGTGGGGGGAGAGACTGATTGGAAAATCCGCAGGACTTTGACGACATATTGATTTACAAGTATATATCGATAGCTATCGATATTTTGCAGCTCAGAGTTTGATAAGTATACTGTATCTAATGCCTTTCACAATTTGATAAGTATTTCGATAATTATCGATTAATGAATACAAATTATTTCAAATTGAAGTATACGCTCTTCACTAAGTTCAGCTTGCAAAACTGCTTGTCAGCCCAATTTGCCGATAGTTATCGATTATGAGGAATTACTACGAGAAAACCTACGATTTTCGATCAAGTCACTTAGTCTGTGATAAATAAGATAAATGAGCAGCTATTGCAATCGAAATTAGATTTCCGATAGTTATCGATTTGATTAGAGCCATGAATTTGGTTTTGATTTTGATGAATTTGGTTTCCTCTCCACTATTGCGAGCTCATGCTCTACTCATGTAGACCCTTAGCATGCGGCAGGGCAAACAGGGTATGCTGGGTACCAGAAGGACCCTTGAAATGTACTTCAGCTACGTGGGCGATACACAGACAGCGTGACAATTTGTGCTCGAATTTGTGCATCGGTTAATCGGATCACAGGGCAGAGCATCGATGCCCATTGGAAAGTGAAGGCTTATGTTGGGCATAAACATATTATTAAATGCAAGTAATACGCTCGATAATCAACGACAAGAGTTCACTTAACAATAGGAGAATGAAACCTAATGACTGTCAAATGCTCTGAGCTATACCTATATAGGTCTGCCATCGGCGACCTTCAATTCCACAATTCCCCTAATCAGGCTCGTCTAAAACACTCTCACTGGGCATTTTACAGGGTATTCGAAAATGCTTAACACAACACTTTTCATTACTATTTAGTCTGGTTGAGTCTTCGAGTGCTTTTCAGCAACTTTTCATTGATTGAATTGATTTGTCGCATTGATTGAATTGGTTGGGGCTACCCAACGTGCGCTTCTCCAACGCTTCTCTAATCCCATTAGGAGCATTTTTAGAATTGATGTCAAAGCTCGGTCATTAAATTAATATGGCTCGTGTCATTCTTAAGCGGCTTTCCGATGGAAACAAATTAATAATTCAAGAAATGAATGTTTGTTTGAGGAAACAAGCGAATAATTGAGTGAACGACCCAATGAATGTGGTGGGTGACTGTGGAGCAATGATTGCTCTTTGAGGGTACAAATGAATAAATGAGTGAGTGAATAGCTAAATCGAGCAATGAATGAATGAGTATATGAAGAAATGAATGAGCGAGCGAATAAATGCTCCTAGCGGGCTCATATGAATAAATAAGTAAGTGAATATGACTATGTGAGGAAATGAATGAGTGAGTAAATGCAATGAATGACTGAATTAGTGAATCAGTTTGTCAATTGCTCAGTCCATCAATGAATCTAGCAGTTAATGCATCCATCTCAATCAATCTCATCATACCCTGTACTCATGATGCATGAAATACCCTCTATTTTCATATCGATTAACTTCAGATTAGCTTTGTAACATTCTTTCTCCGGTTTTATGATAATCGTTATTCGTTTACTTAAAGAGCAAAGCTAATAAAATCGTACTTTTTAATATGCGCATTCTTTAGGCTGAACCCACACAAAGCTTGAAGTTTATTGCGGAACACGACTGATGTATACCCTATACTCTTTTGCCTAAGCCAAAGTATGTACTAGATATGGAATGTGCCCTGGGTAAAGGAAACTCTGTTTCATACAGACTAACTAAGCTATGCAGTAAACAGATGGCCACACCCACACACACCTACACACCCACACACACACACTTGTACACATGTGCAGTGGAGTCTTTGAAATATGTAGGCAGCCAAGTTTTCGGTCTGAAAACATACTCATATTTGACTTTGGCTTGACTTTGACTTCGATTAAGCTAACAAACTGGCTGCGCCCGTGTGTGTTTGGGCGTGTGTGTGTGTGTGTGTTGCCCAGGTGTAGCTCCGACCTGGGTCACAATTCGGCAGATTCCATGGCATGGGAAGGGACCAAGAGTCGGGTCCATAAATGCCACTCTGAGCAGCAGCCAAAGTCAGTTCTGAGCCATGCCTTTTGGCAGTTGGTCAGCATTAATTTATGACCAACTCTGTGTGAGTGTGGGTGTGTGAGCGTGTGTGTGTGTGAGTGGGTGCAACGTCTGCCTGAGTGGGCCTCTGTGCAGCTACGCAATTAGAGCAGAGCCAGAGGCAACTGGGCAGACTTAATCGAGTAATTATTTATGGAATTGTTCAGTGAGCAGCTCCGTTGGGGGAACCAGTCGAAATGAGCTAGTTCGGCGAGCATTTAATGATGCAGCTTATCAGAAATGCGCCTCATCATAGCCTGAGCTAGTTCAGTTCTTATGGCATTCTCGATAGATGGGCGAGTCGACTCGAATTGAATGTGGGCGTTGGTCCCGTTGCCAGGCGAGGCACAAAGGACGAGCCCGCATATTTTTCGTTGCTTCATGGAATTTCCTTTGGCTTTCTGGTTGCAGATGCCAGCTTTGACGGCAGCGATGGCACCGTGCCCTCGCCCGCTCCCCAGCAGCTGGCCTACAATGTGCTGAGGCCGATACTGAAGTCGCAGCAGCACCAGTCGCAGCAGCAACAGCAGCAGATGCAGCAGCAACAGGACCAGCAGAAGCTGCAGCACTTGCAGCAGCTGCAGAGTATGCAGCAAATGCAGCAGCAACAGTTGCAGCTGCAGCAGCAGCAGCAGCATCAGCTGCAGATCCAATTGCAGCAGCAACAACATGAGCTGCAACAGCAAATACAACAGCAGCAGCAACAGCTGCAACAGCAACAGCAGCAACAGCTGCAACAGCAACAGCAGCAACAGCAGCAACAGCAACAGCAGCAACAGCAGCAGCAACAGTTGCCGCCGCTATCCCAGCAGCCGAGCACATCGGCCCAGGCCCATCTGCATCGCATATTGCCGATACCGCCCGTGGCACAGGGTAGCTACCAGCGCATGCAGCACAGCCGCAGCAGCTTGCAGGGCGGAGTGCAGCGCAACACGAGCGCCGGCAGCTCGACGGCTGGCTACGGCTACAACATGCAGAGCCAGCAATCGCAGCAGTATGAGCTGGGCGAGCAGCCGGAGCAGCAGCAGTACTACGCGGGCTACAGCCGGACGTACGGCTCGCAGGGGCTGCACGGCGAGGGCCGTTGGCGCGACGAGGAGCCGACCTCCTCGGCTGCAATGGCAGCGGACCCCATGCACAACAACTACCAGGATTTTCTGCAGGCGGCTCCGGATCCAGGACCCGGAGCGGGGCCGGTATGTATGAAGCCATCAGCCCATCAACACATCTTAAGCTAGATCACCTCTATCGGTCGACTGAACTGAGTTCGTTTGTCTGTTTGCTCTTCATGCTCGCCCTTAGTCCTACTGCTACTCATTCCATCTATGTTCATTCCTCTATCAGGCCCACTGGGCGCAAATAGTTGATCTGTTTATCTACTCAAATATTATACTAAAGCATCTCTCGCTACTTTTTGCCATTGCAGCCCAGTATGAGAATGCAGAGGTCACCAAATATGAATAGACGCAGAAGCTCCTCGATTGCAACTGGCGTGCTGCACGGCGATCATGGCTACGGCTATGCCAACGACAACAAAAGTTACGCTGTCGAGCAACAACAGCAGCAACAGCATCAACAACAACAACAGCAGCAGCAGCAGCCAGAGGAGGAGCACGTGGAGGAGGTGGAGGAGTTGTTTGCGTTCCCGAATAACAGCAACAGGTAGGGGCAGCTAGACACGGATCCTTTTAGCTCGTGATCTGAAGTGACAGCAACAATTGCAGATGCAACTGCAACATCTGCAACTACTGCAGCAACTGCAGCAACTGCCTTGCCTTGCCTTGCCTTGCCCTGTCTTAGCCACGTCTCAAAGCCAACAACTCGTTCACCTTGTGGCCAATGAACTCGGCTCTGATTAGATTCAATTTACTCTCACATTTGCAGTTTATTCGCTTTGCTGTTGCTCAGATTCGACATTCAAATGATAACAACAAGAAATTCCAATTTTCGATTGTGCCAACTTGATATCGATTGGAGCCCTGATTTTACCAATTTCGAAAGACGGTGCTAAAAAGTCGCTCAAGCCCGATTTCTTGCATTACATCACACTTTCAGTTCTTCGATAAATACAAATAGCCTAACTTTTCTACCTTCTTTGATTATCTAATATGAATATTTATCGATTGCCTTTATTTATGTAACTTAAAGATGTTTCAAGTTTCTATAGATTTTTCTGCATGCAAGACTTTAATATATAAAATTCAATTCTTTTGCACGGGCATTATTATGTTCTTAATTGAATTTCTTCTGAAAGCTCTGAAGACATGGCCTTCTGTCCGCTTCTTCCTCCTTGTTCTTGTCCTTGTCCGTTCGCTTCTTCTTTGTCGCTTGAAGGCAACGAGGAGAAAATTGAATGAGCCTTAAGTAGAGCAGGCTCCGCGATTTTTCAGTTAATTCCACGCAATGCGATCGCCACCCTGGGTCAGTTTCGCTGCAATGGGCTGGCAGGCTAATTATCGACTGTCAATGCAATTTATTTAAGGTAGTGGGCCTTGTACTTATGCTTCACACTCTGGTTGCAGGGAGCGGATGACGCTGGCCAAGTCCCCGCTTGGTCGGGCCATCGAGAGCGGCGTGCTGACCTTCCATCAGGCGATGAGCGGTGCGGTGTCGCCGCAGTACGCCGGGGTGGTCACAGGAGTCGGAGCAGGAGCTGGAGTGGGCTCGAGTGCCAGCGAGCTGGACAAGTGCCGCCTCGGCTCCAGCTCAGCCTTGGCGGCTGTGGCCGAGCACACAGCGGAGACAACAGCAGGAGCAGCTGCAACAGCAGCGCCATCTGGCGGCGCAAACGCCACCAGCTCGACCACAGCCGGCTCCAGCGATGAGGTGCACTCGCCCGTCGGCCACAGCAGGGCTCTGCAGCAGCAGTACCACTCGGTCAACAGCAACCAGCAGCGCGAGCGGGGCGTGGGCGAGTCGTCGGCCAGCGTTGGCTATGGTAGCTCAGCCACCATAGCCGTGGCCGTGCACATGTCGGAGCGACAGCGTCTGCGGACGTCCAGCATGCCGGCAGAGAGTCGCAAAGTGAGTATGCTCAGCGGTGTTTGTCCATAAGTCACTAAAGAACTCGATTAGCTAGCTAAGTGTTTTGAAATTACTAAACAATTACCAGACGGTGCTTAATAATTACTTTAATTACACCTAAGTACGGCCTAAATGACTCTCCTAATTACCATCAGCAACTGAGACTAACCCTATGAGTACTATCTGGTAGGTCTATGTCAAGTGATCCCCAAAATAACATTTGATTACTTATCTGAGTAGCTATTAGAAGCTAGATTTTTCAATGGAATGCTTAATACTCGACTCAATTACTTTAATTACTCTGGCAATTACTTAGGTAATTGCCTTCTATTGCAACCGCTTTGGCGTATATCTATGCGCAGGCATTTATCTAAGTCAAATGAATGAGAGACAATTCAGTACCTGGAACCGCCCGACACCTTTTGATCTGTTGCTAATAAGCCAATTCCCTAATTCCCACGACTCGGCTTTGGGCTCATTGAGTTTGTCAGCTGATGACATTGAACGACAGTTGCCAGAGTGGAAATGACTAGAGAAGCCAATTCATTTAGATTAGAGTATACAGACAGAGACAGAGAGAAAGAGAGAGAGAGAGAGTGAGCGAGGTAGATGAATGCTTCAGCTATATCACATCAGCTAGATACGTTCTGCTTCTCTTCTGTATATGTGTGTGAGTGCATAGAGGATTCAGCATGGTATCTGCTAGTCGGGCACTCCCCACTGGAGCACACTACTCCTTTGTTCTTGCTTTTCGGGACATGCACATGGGATAAAGCTTGCCCTAGGGATTCGATGGCAACATACATAAGTACGAACGAACACGCCAGCCTATCTTGTTAATATGAAAGAACACTCATGCACACACACGCACACACGCACACACACACACACACATATAGTAACCCTAGCTCTTCAGCTGAACATATTGCCAAACAAAAATGAGGGAAAAAGCGGGAATTACTTGAAAGCCCAAAGGCTAGCGGATTCAATCCCAGCTGTGGCTCTGCCCGAGCTGCAATTGTGAATTGCTGGAAATGCCCGCTGTGTGCACAAAGACAAACACACAGACAGCCCCCCTGGCGAACCCCGCCGCCTTCCCTCTGGCAGTTCCCCCCCCGGGTTGTCAAGCCCGGATGGAAGTTGCAGTTGCCGCTGGGGTTGGGGTTGAAGCATAGCAGCGCGGCAATAGACAAGCTTTTACCTGTCTATGTGTGTGTGTGTGTGTGTGTGTGTGTGTGTGTGTGGGCGTATAGGCGTGGCCCACACAGAGTCACTCTTGACATTCTTTTGACTGCAGCAAGTGCAGCTTTTATTTTGTTGCCCTGCCTGGCGACGTGCTTTCGCCATTGATTCGATTCCTTTTCTCTTCTATTTGAGCTGTGGCCTGGAGCCGTCAGTCGTCCCCAGGCGGGTGGTGCTGGTGGTGCTGGCGGTGTCGCAGTGCCAGCTGTCGTTAAACATGTTTTGCCATTCGAAGCCACGAAAATTTCATATGCAAACAAGTTTTTCCGACCCGATTGCCCGACAGAAGTCAGCTGGGCATGAGCTGGAGTCTGGCGTGGGGCTGTCCGTTTTTGGGGCACTGCAAGCTAAACGGGCCAACAGGACAATCAACTCACGCCAGCCGCGTGCCACGCCCTTTCGAGCGGCTGCAGCTGAGTTTTGTGCGCGAGTGGGAAAACTAATTACATTAGCGCTGCAGCGACTAGATAAGTGCAAGCCAGATAAATTCCCCAAGCGAGTTCGAGAGCAAGAGTGTGTGTGTGTGTGAGCGAGTGTGTGTGTGAGTGTGTGTGTGTGTGTGTATACACAAAGTATGTGGAGCAACAGGAAGGCAAAGACTGGCACAAGTAGGATGTGAGTTAGTTAGTTGCCATAGTCCTAACCATAAATCCAAGTTAATGACTGGTATACACACACACACACGCACATATATACACACACACACATAGGCATACATTCTCTAAATGCAAGAAGAAAATGAGGAAGAATGAAACGTGAAAACTTTAGTTTCGCCAAGAATACCCACACGAGAGTCGCACACACACACACACACACACACACACACACACGCATGCACGCACACATATTATATATTTATACATGCTTTATGTCTGGCTGAATGCTCTACGCACCGGCCGCACCGTCAGTCCAGCCAGCGAGTCGAGAGGCTCGCGCCTCCCTCCCAATTGACAGTTTGCTTCGTCATGCCCAATGGTTGGCATAGCAGCTGCCCCAAAACAATCAAGGGCATGGCAGCCGGTATACATCGCTGTCAGGTTGTCCAGTTACCCACACCCCCAGCACCCCCCACTCCCTCACCCCCTCACTCTCGCACCGCTTAATACATACACTAAAACACACAAGCGAACTGACAGCAAAGAAAAATACAAATTTGAGTTCTTTATCGCATTTTTCGTTTTCCAATGAAAACGCGCAGCAAGAAGAAGCTGAAGGCGAAGCAGGAGCAGAGGAGTAAGAAAATCTTTGGTATACTTAAATGCTCGTTCACTTGGTGCTAAGCAGAGTCGATGGGCTTTGTGTGCATCGAGCATTCAGAGACTTGATAGACGTATATACATACGCCTCCATCTTGAGGGGGCGTGGCAGACTGTGGACAATTATATATGTATGCAGTCTCAATACCAACTTGAACGGGTGTTAAGCAGTCAGTAGGACTCGACTGCCACGACGCTCATATTTGTTTTGGTTTAGTTTTGACTCGCACATTGTGAGATGTCTAATACGCCTGAGCGAGCTTTTCCATACACCCCATATATGTATGTATTACCATCATGTGAATATGTGAATGTCTTTCCATAATATATAGCTCTATATGAGCCTAGGATATGCCTAAAGTTGTAGAATCCAAACATTCGCAATAGAATAGATATATATTGAATAAATGTATATTTCAGAGACATTTGACCTAAGAGAAACGTTCAAAATAAATGAAATAAAACTCATTAAAGACTTTGCACAGTAATTAACTTAGCCAAGGCAGGAGATGGACGTGAGAGGGAAAGAAATAGAAGAGCGGGAAAGAGAGATTAAAGATGGGAAGAGCTGTAAGCGAGAATTGAAAAGTCTATAAGGGAAGGTTCAGTAAATGGATAGAGATGGGACTTAGCGATAAGTGCATGCTGAGAGAGTCTTTGGGCTTGTATTCAATGTGCACCTGTTGCACACCTGTTGCACCTCTTGCAGCCCCGCCTGGCGGACACGCGTCGCTCGGCGATTCACTGTGGCGCGGATGTCGAAATGGATTATTATCGCTTGCGCAGCTTCAGCATTACATCGCATGGCGTTTGCAATCTGGGCGATTCATTACGGTAAGTGGGTGTGCCATGCACACACACACACACACACACACGCACACACACAAGACAAGCAACTCGCTGTGACATGTGCCTTCTTATTGAATTTAAATTCAAATTGTCTTCAACAGCAGCCGCAGGTCACGTTCTATCAATTCTGTGACATCCAATGGCACCTCGAACAGCGGCAAGGATCGACACAATAGGTGAGTGAGACAAGAGATAGAGAGAGCGAGAGAGAGAGGGGAATAGTAAAAGTGCACGTCTTTCAACGTGTCATGAATTATTCGTTCAATTGAACTTGTGAGTAAAATAAATAAATTATATCAAATAAACTGAATGTCGATATGAACTAGTATTGCTACAATAAGTTGAATTGAACGACTTTACACGAACGAACTACATTGCTGAACCCATTCAGGGTTTCCATATGAGAGCTGATTAGCAATAATAAGCTCCATGAAACGACTCAATAATAATGAATTTCTGAACTAGTTCATTATTAAGTGAGTGATGCTCGCTCCAGTAGCCTTAGTTCTATTGACTTGATGAATACTTTTGTATTAATATATCGTGAGCTGGTTCAACAAAATGAACCAGTTCATTTATGTCATTCCCATCAGCATAAAATTCTGTTGCCTACATTTGAGGGCAGCTCTGAGCTCCACCTAAATTTTGCGTTTGTCGATTTTCGATTGCTGTATTGTGCATGAGCTGAATTGCTCATGAGCTGAACTAGTGTGTGAAATGAACAATTGAATTTGCTCATCAAACGGAACCGGAATGAGCAACTCTTACTGGTTGACTCCAACTGTCAGACGCAACAGACGCAATAAATTGTTCATCAGAATGTTCACAATGAACCATCGACACAATGACAGTGACACACACACACATATACACCCATACACACACACATATACACACACACATACGTACACACCTTTACACCGACCTCTACTAACTTTATATATCCTTTCCCTACACAAGAACATTTTTCGTAAAAATTTTGGTTCTTCTGCCCCTGCGTCTTCCTCTTCTTCGTTTTTATTATGCGCCGCTTCGCTCTTTTATTATTATTATTATTTTTCCCTTCGCATTATTTTTGTTGTTGCGAGCTGTACAAACGCATTGTCAAAGTAAATTCCAGTCTTTATTATTGTTGTTTACTCGGCAACGGCAACGGCGACGGCGACGGCGGCAGCCACGCGCCCCCTGCTTGCCCCCATCCCGCTCCCGACGAGGCTTATTATTGTTATTAGATGAGGCTAGGCCTCTGCTGGCAGTAAAATTATAAAATCGTAAAGTCGTAAAATCTAATTCCCCAGCTGTTTGTGTAAATAGCCGAAATAGCAATAAATACACTCGCTGGGAAAGCCAAGCGCCGTTACCAACAATTATCCGGCTACTCAGTACTCAGGAACGGGCATACGGAGAGCATTACCGAAAGTGTATGCTAATGCTCCCCGATTGAATCGTACATGCTGCTCAACTGGAGGCCACTCTGCACCTCTATAGGCAGCAGAGAACAATCGGGCCACGATTGAACAGGAGATTGTCTGAGGGAATACGTCATCGGTGAAATTTGATTGATTTGATTGATGATGTCACTAAATTGTTTCTCCTCTTGGTCTGCTTTTCATGCTTAGCAATGCGTCGGCCGACATCCCGGAGGCAGAGGCGAGCAACGTCCAGCCGCACTCCCAGCGGGCCAACGGGGAACACATTCCGGCGTACAAAATCGCCATGCTGGGCGGATCCGGAGTGGGCAAGACAACGCTGACATATCAGTTCACCACCTCGGACTACATCTGCGCCTACGACCTGAGCCTGGGTAAGTGCCAAATGGGACACGTGTGCTAAACGACATCGTTTACGCTAATGTGGGAGCTTTTGGCTCTTGGCCCATTCTATAGTGGATTTGGGCGTGGGTTCGAATTCGGGTTCGGGTTCGAGACTGTGGCTTTTAATCAAACGCATTTGCATTTTAATTATGCCACAAACTCATAAAATATGAAAAGCGTCGCTGCTAATTTCATTAACTTTGCCAAGGGGCAGGTGAGACGGTCCTCCTTGAGCTCTACGGGCGCGCTTCTCGCCTGACTTGTGATCCATAATGGATGTTATTAAAAGGATTTTCCATATCTAGCAACGAATGGGCCGACAATGGCGTGCAACACGTGGCCCCTATTAGCTCATGGCTCGGTTCGCGCTGCGCTATTTCGGGTCTGCGCTAATTCGGATTTCGCCTACACTTCCACAGCGCCCGCTCGCATGCTCAAGTCATCTCGGTTCAGCGGGGCATACCAACATGGCTTAGACTAAACGAGCAGCAGCAGCGTCGGGCTCCGACTCTTTAAGTCTTTGAGCTGTGGCAACTGCGAGGCTACTTAACGCATCAGAAGGACACTGCGGGCTTAGCTAGTCAAATCGGAATCGTTTCCATAGAGTGTGTGCAATCGCAATGGGAAATGGCAAATGTCAAATGGGAGTTGGCATAACAAATTAGAGTCTCTGGGCGTAGCAAGGATTCACTTGAAAATGACATTTTAATATCGAGTTTAAACTTTATCTAGAAATGGGGTATACGGGAAGAGCTGCAAGCTATGATATATGATGTTTCACTGCAAAGATAGAACAAGTCAAGGTAGTTTAGTTTAGGCCCCCTCAGTCCCTACTCAGAAAAGAGCATTTACTTTACTCCACATACTACTCTACACACTTCACATGCTAAGTAAAATTGAGTTCGAGCTGCAGGACGTGAGTGCAGTTGGCGTCCCGATTCCGTGGCTTGAAATTGGTTTTCTATTAGTATTGGGATTTGGGGCACTGCGTGTCCAGTTCACGCTCCGCTGAGGATTGAGTGTGGGTGACCTGAGCAAACCCAGGGAAACAGAAGGAGAGAGAGAGGAGCAGGGGATGAGGGCGCAGCCATTAGCTTAATCTTGCTAGCTGCATGATATATGCGACTTGCGTGCGGCAGCAATAGCCGGAGCAGGAGCAGGAGCAGGAGCAGGGATAGACGTGGAGGCTTAGCTAAATGAAAGAGTGAAAAGTGAATGTGAATGTGAAAGCATAAATGCTGAAAGCATGAAAGCACGAGAGCTGCAAATGAAAATGGCGTAGGGTAGTCCTGAGAAGGGGAGCCGGGGGCGGGGGCAATCCGGCTGAGGCACTGGGGCATGCAACATTTCTTTGCACGTTGCAACAGAGCGCGTCGCATCGCAGGAAACAAAATAAAATTCGCCAACTTTTAATTAGCACTTGAGTAAAAGAGCCGGCAAAAACAACTTTATATGTGCCACACGCAACTTTTATTGTCGTACCACCACCCACCCCCCACACCCCCTGGCAGCGCTCAACTAAAGTGGGAGGGGTGGTGCAGAAGGGGGCCACGCCTCGCTAAGCGTGGGCTATTGTTAGCATATGTTAAATGGCACATCAACCTGAGCAACGGTTAAAGCACGAATCTAGCCATGGACTCCGTATACCCTGTTTTCCCTGCATGGCGGGCATACGCAATCCCTTCTCGGTTAATGATGACAGATTTCTTCCGAATAGCCAAAAGAGTTGTATTTACTATACGCATCAAAAGGTTTCTTCAATAGTAGTCGATTATAATCGATAAATATACTTTACCTAGGTCAGTCCCTTCTGTTCTTCTCTGCCTCGTTCCCCTCTCCTCCTCTCTTTCTTGCTGTCTCGCTCGGCTCTCTCTCTCTCTCTCCTCTCTTTATGTCTCTCTCTCTCTTTCGAATGCGACGTCAAAGCAAATCAAAAGTGCAGTAAACGAAATAAATAAGAAACCATTTCCAAGCCATGAGAGGGGGAGGGGGGCGGAGTAGAGAAAGGTAATTTCTCGCTCTTTTTGAAACCTTTTTTATTGCCACCTTTGGCAAACGAAACGAAATCCCACTGACTGCGCTTGTTATGCGGCTGCACGCCCATTCAGCGAAATAGCCAGCAGAAGCTATAAAAAAGTAACACGATCTTCTGAATTGATTGACAGAGAGATACCCTGTAGAGCATACGATCTGGGGAGTATTGAGAATGGAAATCATTTGAGCACTTTTGGGCAGACCATCGAGCAAAACTACTTTACCAGTGTTGCCTAATGCTGTTGAGAAGGGGTTGGTCAACTCTTTCAGATATCAGGATTCACTAATATTATACTGGCTGCGCTCTAAAGTCAAAAAGTACTGCAAAGCAGTTAGGTAAACTATTTTTTGCAGTCCTTGCTCCGCTGCTCTCTTAATAAAAAGTAGTGTTGCTAAACGTTAAGTGGCATTGAAACAAGTTGCCTAAATCTTAGATTTTCCTTATACACTACGGAATGGGAGTAGTGAAAAAGTTTTGTATAATGCGCCAATCAAGGTGTTCCTTAAATAAAGCATTAATATTAATGCAAAGTTTTTAGCTATACCGAGTATGGGAATGGATATCATGTCTCTCTCTCCCACTCTCTCTCTCTTCTCTCTCTCTCTCTCTATCTCTCTCTCCCACTTTCTCTTCCTCGCTGTCCAGCTGTCAGTGTGGGATTAATTAACTTGGATTCAAAACTGCATATGCAGGCAGCTTTATGTCTGGCGGTTGACTTGCAGTTTAGCCCCATTTGTAGCGCTCCTTTCATTAACAGTGTTGCATAACGAGCTAATTGACATGCAACTGCTGCAATTTTAGTCCAGCCAGAGCCAGAGCCAGATCTAGAACCGAAACATGTAGCTGCAGACGCATGCCAATCATGTGCCATTCAAATGGCTGCAGTTAATGCAGTCAATATGCAGAACGAGATGAACGAATGCACACACACACACACACACACGTATATGTATATATAATTGTATATGTATATTATTTGGGTAAATATGTCATTAGAGTAAAGTGAATGAAAGTGTTGACACATTCTTAGCTCAATTTGCTGGCATTGCTAACATTCTCGCTCTCTCTCTCTCTCTCTCTCTCTCTCTCTCTCTCTCTGTCTATTCCTCGTCTAGATGATGACTATGGACAGAAAACGGTGTCCGTGCTGGTCGACGACATTGAAACGGACTTGGAAATTATTGATCATCCGGCCTGCGAGATGTCGGTAAGTATCTGCCCAGTTGACTGGGTTACCCACAATGCACACACGCACACACACACACACATCCACTCTCTGGGGCAGCTGCTGCATTTGACACTTATTTTCAAATGTCATTAACACTGTTTTCCTTTATCGGCTGCTGCTTGAGGGGCCAAAGCGCACCCCACATTGAGGCAAACGTCTTCTTACATGGGCAGCCTTGCCAGCCAGTCTGTCTGTGTGTGTGTGTGTGTGTGTGTGTGTGTGTGTGTGTGTGTGTGTGTGTGT